TCTGTGTCCCTGTCTATGTTGTTGGTGGTGGGGTTATGTTGGTAATGATGACGAACTGGTGCTAAAATGTGGTCACAAACTGGTGCTGAAAATTTGGGGCGATGGCTGTGGTAGCGGTGGTGGTTGTGGCGATGTATTTTTGTTAGAGGTGGATCAGGATCGGAGGTGGAACGAGGTGTTGGTTAATTTGTGACCAACCATTTTTTTATGTATGACCTAAAAATTATATAACCTGTGATCGTGAAAGAATATGTGATCAACTAATTTGGAAATATGTGACCACGTGACCTACAATTTTTTTGATCTGTGACTATTAAATAATGTGACTAATTAATTTTGAAATCTGTGATCGACGAATAAATTGTGACCACTTAATTTGAAAATCTGTGACTTACGAATAAAATTGTGACCATTAATTGTATAATTGTGACTTAATTATATTTGATTAATAAATATTTTTAATTAATTACCTAATACCCGAGTTTTGAATTTTTAAACTATATATATGCCTTTTGAATTGGTGTAAATCATACACTTGAATTATGAATTTTCCCCTGATGTGATGCTTTAGTGTATGAACTAGGGTTTCATAATGGGTGAAATTATATAAAGTTACTATATGGCTAGTAGGGACGGGCCTGAGCTCCAAGCCATTGACTTTTGAAGTTCAGTAGAAAAATATATTTTTGTCTCCATGGCTCCGCTCCTGATGGCTAGGTTCCATCACCTCTCTAATCTAACTGAAAACATAACAATAATTGGGTAGATAGCCCCATTGATAAGTGTAATTTTCAGGACAGAAACGAGGTTGGAGTTCTCTTATGGCATCAAAAGGAAAATGATTTATTGAATTGCAATAGTTTTGTGTTCCATTTTCATGTGTTAATAGAAAACATCCAAGAGCGTGTTCGGTAGAGATTAAAATTGGATTAAAATTGAAAAATTGGTCGTTATTGTTGACTTTTATTAGACGGGTAGGACCCAATAACGGTCATATTTTCAATTTTAATTGGATTTTAAGCCCTCCCGAACGGGGCCTTAAACCATGTATGCAGAGAAATGTTATTATACAGATGGTCTTACTTAAACCATGATTATAGTCTTTGTAGATGGTTGCATCAACTAGAGTACGAATGTTGNATATACTTAATATTAATTATTTGAGTGAATTTTCAATTTTCTACTCATATTAGTATACAAATTGTGTTTATATTTTAACCCTAAATTTAAAGATGATTGGTGCCAACAAAGGTGATTTGAAGCATAAAAGGATTAAAAAATGAAAAAATTGTGAAACAAAGAACCTACATGCGGAGAATGTGAGAATATTAGTGCACAAATTTTGGTACATAGATCTTAGGATAAATTATGTATCATCTATAAGAAAATTGAATTTAAAGTTCAACCCAAAAAACTCTATTTATCTTTTAATGAATTTATAAGTTATTTACAAATTGATTGTCAAACAGAGGTTAAAATACTTCGCATTTGTCTCAACCTGGCATCCTGGCCCCATAGTTTGCCACGAATCCTAAGGTTTGTATGCCCAGCAAAGATTTGCTTTTCCTTGCTATTTATTTATTTATTTTTTTTGAAGAAAAGACATATCCTTAAATTCAAGAAAGCAAATGTAGGATACAAGGAGGAGATTCCTCCAACACTATTCTCTCCTCAGAGAGTTTGAGCGCTTCCTTTGCTAGAGTATGAGCCACAATGTTAACCACCCTAGGAACATGAATAACAGACCAAGAATCAAAAAAACCAAGCAATTTCCTAGTGTCTTCAATCAGCAGTCCAGGGTAGTTCCAAAATTCTAAGTCGCCATTAATCCTCTTCACCACGTTCAGCGCATCACCCTCTAAAATAATCGACTTGAGCTTAAGGTTTCTACATAGCGACACTGCTTCCATAGCTGCAATAGATTCTGCTAAAAAAGCATCCGGGAGTACTTTCCTTTGATACATCAACGCTGCCTGTAATTGGCCTGACCAGTCTCTCACTACCACACCAACGCCAATGCGACACTTAGAAGCATCAACCGCAGCATCCCAATTAATTTTGAACGTATTAGGGGGAGGTGCTACCCAGACTTGGGGGATATGGTGTCCACAAGTGCTGCTAGGCTCCAACTGGGAGGTCGCCTCTTTGTACACTAATGCATTCTGTCTAGCCTTATCTGCGATAGTTGATGGCCCTTCAAATTTATTCTAAAAAATAAAAGAGTTCCGCCTCTTCCAGATTAAATAGACTGTGGAAGTAAAAATCTCCATTTCCTCCCCAGTCATCACAGTAAATAGATGGCAAACCAGATCCTTAAAGTGCAATGGTAGAAATGACATTTTCTGAAATTTGCGCAAACTCGATCCCCACACCTCTTGTGCCGACACACATGACCACAACGCATGAATAACAGACTCCTCCTCCCGCAAACACACTGGGCAAACAGGCGATCCCCTTATCTTCCTTCTATACAAGTTCAGATTTGTGGGTAATGAGTCGTGAGCAGCACGCCACAAAAACATTTTGTTTGCATTCGAAGCATCAAGTCTCCAGATTTTCCTCCATACCTCATTATGCTGGTTGGTGTTTGAACATTGGCCCAGTGAGTCCTGTTTAGCCTGCAAGGAAGCGTGATATGCGCTTCTGATAGTGAATTTACCATCCTTTGTACCCCTCCACGTGAGTTTATCCGGTGAACTATTTAAGCTGATAGGGATCTGGCTTATAAGATTTGCTTTCGACTCATAGAAAATTTCTGAAACCCGTTGCATGTTTCAGGTGTTGTTGTTTGCATTAATAAGCTTACTGACACAGGCATTCACAAACTAATCAAACAGAGGAGGATGAATTTGAGAAGAGGACACTTGGGGGATCCATTTGTCCTTGCCAATAAACACAGAGGCACCGTTTCCAATGCGCCAGAAGACTCCCTCTCGTAATACTTCTTTAGCGGCTGAAAAACTCCGCCAAAGGTAGGATGCATTGCTTCCTATTTTACTGTCCAAGAAGTCTGATCTGCTAAAGTATTTTGCTTTAAGGACCCTTGCAGCCAACGAATCTGGGTTTTGTATAAGTCTCCAGCCCTGCTTAGCCAAAAGAGCCACATTGAAAACCTCGAAATCCCTATAGCCCATTCCTCCAATCAATTTGGATTTCCCCATAAGCTCCCAGGGGAGCCATTGTGTTTTTGTTCTATCTCCATTACTGCCCCACCAGAATCTCTTGACCAGCCGATGTATAGCTTGAATGATGGTTCTTGGAAGCTTAAAAATGCCCATACAATATGTGGGAATAGCTTAGATAATGGCCTTGAGGAGAACTTCTTTACCTGCTTGTGAGATGAACTTCACTGTCCAATTGTTCATTCTACTCCTGATCGAATCAAGGACCGGTTTGAACGCTGACAATTTGTTCCTACCAACATACGCTGGCAGACCCAGATATTTTTCAAAGGATTTCGCTTCATTGACAGACTTAATCTCCAGTGGAGTGTTTTTGCTGAAGTAAATGGAGGTCTTGTCCATATTGAGTTGTTGCCCCGAAGGATTACCATATAATCTCAGTAGATAGGATAATCGCCACCATTCTAGGACGTTTGCTTTACAGAAGATCAGGCTATCATCGGCAAAAAAGAGGTGATTTACTAACAGGTTACCTCGTGCAAAGGGGAAGCCCGATATAATCCCCTTCGCCTCTGCTTTGTCAAGTAAATTACCAAGCACTTCCACACACATAATGAAAAGGTAAGGGGAAAGAGGGTCCCCTTGCCTAAGACCTCTCATAGGTTGGAACTGGCTTAGAGGCTCGCCATTGATGATCAAGGAATACTTGACCGATTGGACACATTGCATGATCAGTTCAACCCACTTATCACCAAAACCAAGTTTTCTCAGTACAACTCCCAGGAAGATCCACTCAATACGATCATAAGCCTTACTCATGTCTAGCTTCAACCCCATGTACCCCTCTTTCTTCCCATTGACTCGATACCTCATAGAATGCAAAGCTTCATACGCCACAATGATATTATCTGAGATTAAACGCCCCAGAACAAAAGCACTCTGTGCAGGGGAAATAATATCACTCAACAGGGGTTTGAGTCTATTAGCAAGAACTTTCGAGACCACTTTATAAAGGACATTGCACAAACTAATGGGTCTAAAGTCAGTGACTGACTTAGGAGTCTTTTTCTTAGGAATCAGGACAATGAATGTGTCATTGATGTCATTTAGACCATGTTGTGATGCTAGAATGCCTTTAACAATACTCTTGGTAGAAACCTGCAGAAAAACCATCGGGACCAGGGGATCTCAGCGGGTCCATTTCGAACACTGCTCTTTTCACTTCCTCGTCAGTGCACGATCTGTAGAGCTGATCTTTCATCCCAGGGGTGACTTTGGCCTCAAGATCTTGAATGGCCTCTTCAATACCAAATGGATAGGAGGATGAGAACAAGTGTAGGTAATAATGTTTGAAGATGGTACAGATCTCTTTCGGATCAGTAGTCGCCCTGCCCCTTTCATTCAAGATGCTGCAGATGGAATTTTGTTTCCTCCTCTAGGATGCACATTTGTGAAAGTACGCAGTATTCTTATCCCCACTTTTAAGCCACAATTGTTTGGAACGTTGTCGCCTTTTTGTTTTTTGTTTTTATTACAAGCGAAGGTACAAGACCGTTTACTTGTGACATTTTACGGTTGAAATAGACAAATCCTCAAGTAGGAACCAAATATTACATTCTGAAGAGACGCCATCTCGAACCTGGCATTGTACTATATTCACTATTAACTTCAGAGTTTTTAGTAAACCTATGGACCTTGTATATGTAAATATAATACTCAGATACAACTAAATTCTTCCATGATAGTCGAGAACTGATGGGAGTAAACAACTAAAGACCACGTAAGAAAAAACTTCACTGTGCATCAGTCATGAACACTGGTATCACAGCGTGATGTTCACTTGCTTTCAGTGACTGGCAGATACACTCCCTCAGCTGCCAACCAGACATTATCAGCTCGTTTTTCCCGAACACCACAAACCTGCAAAATGTAGTCATTAAAAAATGCTAAAAGGAGAATGTTGATTCTCTATGATATAGAAAAGGAACTTAAAATGTCGTCTATTAACGTGGCCACCACTACAATCTATTACTACATCACCAAATACAGACTTCATTCATAATCCCAATGCCAAACACCATCCCCTTCTTACCTCTTGCTGACCCCCAGCTATACGGGAGTATTTCTTGTCATGACTGAGCAGGTATCCACCAGTGTCCACATGACGAAGCCTTACCCTCTGATCTTGCCTCCAAGTTTTTCCACTTCCTTCGATATCAATTCTGCAGTACCATAAGATGTTAAAGAGGTAAATATTAGTTTTGCTTGTCATTATAAACATCGAATATAATCCAGAAGACTCGAGACAGGAAGTCGCACCTCCAGTAATCCCCAGTATCAGATTCACCATCACCTCCAAAACAACTCACCTGCACATGCATTCGTTTTTTATCAATTTAGGGCTGGATTTTTATTCAAGAAATTATTAAAGGCATTTTCTTAAAAAACAACTCAATGTCAATTCAAGTAACAAGAGATAAACAAACATGTTAAACAAAAATACAAGAATCTGGAAAGCAGGGCAATCACATGAGTTTACACTATAGAAGTAACTTCAGAAATTGCCAATTAAGTAATCAATCTAGATTTCAACAACCTCTGTTTCTTCAATATCAATAAAAACATCCAAGTCATCTATTTTCTCACCAGGTTCAACTTCGAGATTAAATTCCTCATCTTCTATAGCCCCCGTTTGGCCCATTATTTGAAATTTTAATGGTTGGAATAATGTTTTTTTGAAAAATGTGACGTTAAAAAAGAAGAAAAAGTTTTGGGATTATGTGTAATATTATTTTATTGGAGATTGTGTGGTTAATGAGAAGATAGAGAAAAATAAATTATAATTTTAATGAGGCCAAAGTCAAGCAGAGAAAAAAAAGAGAGAGGAATAGGAACAGAAAAACATTTGTATCTATGAAGAAAGGGGAAGAGAGACCCTGAGAATTAGGTTTCTACGCATTATCAGTCAGATTTGCCATTAAAAACTAGCCAGTGTTTTACTAAATAGTAAATAGGCTATAATCGATCCAAAGTCTCTTCATAAACCCTGGTTTCGCCTTTTTGTTAATAACTGACCATAGTTATAATTTTTCCATTGAAAAGGAGAATATTTTATATTGGAAAGAAAGAAGCAGTGAACGCCTTACAGAATATCTGCTTTTCTGGGCACCATGGAACTTATATGGTATACCTTGCCTTGTGGCATACCCTGAGGTACACCTCCTATTTGCCTTTGAAAATGTTGATGATGAAGTATTCAATCAATGATAAGGAGCACCGTACCTCCAATGGCTAAATTCAGTGTCTTTTTTTTTTGTCTGAAAGGTATGGCAGCTGGTTAAATCTCATGGCTCTTTTACTTATCAACACTAGGCTAACAAGTTCGTTTATAGTGCTAGGTGCATATGCAAGAAAAGATAATATGTGACCTTGAATTGTCGACTTAAACAACCATACGGTGAATATTCACAAGACAATAAGATATGATCAATAAGAGAACTCAATAGCCATTTATATTTCAGCAAGGGAGAAGGAAAAATCTGGGTTTTACCATAAGACCTTTTTTGCCAAAGGTTTAACTATACAGGTGAGAATCATTAGAGTAAAATGGCACGGAAGGGAGGCTGGGAAGGGATCCCAAGGAAACCCATGCGTGCTAACCTCTAGATTGCCAGATATAGGAGATGCATGCAAGTGGCTATGCAGCCATTTCCTAGTCCTCATATGCTGCAACCTAATGATGGTACCACTCTTAATTGGGTCTCCTTGTTTAGCAGATGAGTCTGGTGTAGGCCTGACAATCTGCAAAATAAGACAAATAATGAGAGATAAACGACTAAACTCTACTTCTATCCATCCAGTCCTACATCATGCGAAAACTTCAAGGAAAAAGCACATGGAATAGCATTAAATTACCCAGTAGCTGTTGGAATCGTCAACGTTAGGGAAACCAGTAACAGACTGTTGCCCACTGCCAGAGCCATAAGGCACATCATGTGAATGCAACCGGAACTTCGACCTCTCATGCATCAGCTTAATCACTGAACCATATGTAATCTACAAAACAATTTGAGGTTACATCAAAACCTAAAGCATTTAACTCTATGCTGTCTGCACATTATATTGATAGACTAATAATTAAAGTTACTCCAAAAAAATGTCATATTTCAGTGTAAGATTAATTTTTCAGAAATATTTAATAGTATTGTATTGAACATTGTTATGCTCATAAAAAATTTGAACTGGCCATTTACAAATCCTACACAAAATGGAACCCAATTACAGCTTTAAATAATCAATTTAAATGAACTAACCATCTACATATTGGTGGGCATTCTATCAAGACTCCATGATAAGTGTCTTTGCGGGTTCACTTGCATTTCCAATGAATGGCTTAAATTGGTAACTTCTACTGGTCTTGGTTTCATCAAAGATGTGCACCACCAACTACTTGGTAAAAACTCGTCTATATATGTGGTATAATAGCATTCTCAACGTATTTTATGATGTGGATACTAACGAGAAAAATGAGCCTGGAAGAGGTAAAAGAACAAGTAGATGCACTCTTTGTGTGTCCATAGTGGACAAAGTTAATGAAAGGATTTGTGAGGATTACAATATCCGCTTCAAGGTTAGGAACTTTGATAACGTGATTTCATGTAGAAATCTTGATTGTTTTGTTGGAAGAAAAAATTCTGTGCAACCAAATCGCCCAAGAAACGGCAATGCTACTGGATTCTGGTAATTTTGGCTATACAGCTTTAGGGTACTCATCCCTTGCAGACAAATTAAAATGATCTGTTGGTTTGGACAGGGTGATCGCTCCAATATGAGGAGTGAGATTTTCAGATTCCCGATTCGTCCCCTATGCTTCCCAAACTCTCCAACAGTCCAACTTCACAAGCCCATATAAATATATATTACATACGTATAGGCTGTCCTCTTACAACATTCAATTATTGCCTTCGTAATCAAAAATCCCAAAATTAAACTCAACTTTCAATTCATTTCAACCCACAATAGTCCACATACCAATCAAATACCCAATCAACCTATACATACACATGGGAACGTCTAAGTTTCTTTGTACGGATTAAATAACGAATAATCAATTACCTGAACGCCTTCAGAGGCGGCAGAAACAGGAATCGAATTACTATCAGAGTCTAGGGTTAGCAACAGAACAATCGCAAATGCGAAAAAACAGAGCGCCATGACTAGCAATAGCAGTATGAACCAAGTCTTTTGCCAAAACGGTAAATTCGTATCCGAAACACTGGGTTCTCGGTAGATGAGTCGGGTCGAACCCGAATTCTTCGACGATAACGGTGACGCTGAATTTCTCCGGGTGAGGTTATTTAGCCGTTGTTGGCCGGAGGGAGCCACGGTCGGAGCTCTGAATAGGAATCGGATTGAATGTCGATTCGGAGTTTCCTGATTGAAGCATACAGGATTTTATTTTAGAGCATTTTCATCATGTGGGTTACGATTTTGATCTTTGATTTAGGGTTTAATGCCACACAGGAAAAAAGTTTAAGACATATGGTGTTATCCCACGTGGAGGTCTAGTGACGTGTACAGTTGTGAGTTGATATTGGTTTTCCAAGTATTGCATGCCCTGATTGTATTTAAGAAAAATGAAAAAATTCCACATTCCTGCTGCCCCTTGTCTTCACAAGATAATTTTCTGTTTATTGAAAAAATAATACAATTGTTACAAGACTTCTGAAGCCCCCGCCACGTTCATCCATCTCATCCGTCACGTATTGGGCGAACTGATCTGGTATTGTCACGTGGTAGACGAACCGAATTCATGTCGAACGAACTGATTCCATAACTCCGAACTAAAACACTATTGTCCCACCTCGTAGAAGAACTGAACTCACCCGCCCTTCACGACGGATGAAAAGACCCATACTCTGCACTCTTTGCACTTCGCCATCCTCCTCGCCACACCCTCGCCAAGATAGGAGGCCTCCAAAGTCAAGCCCCTGACTGATCGATGGGACGTGTGGCAAGCTACAAACGGTCAACTCAACTGATATTTCAGAAACCATTTAATATCCACCAATCTATGGGTTGACGGATTGACGCCTATGAGATAATAACTCATACGGGATCTGAAGCCACTTATCTCTTCATCCAACGGTCCACCTCTTCCCTTCCCCAGTATAAATACCCTCACACTGATAAGAGTAAGGGGTTCCCATTTTTTCAAGTTTTGCATCATAATCTTCAACTCTAAAAGGGCCCTTCTATATATTCACACGCATTTTCAACCACGTCCCGGTGACCACTTCACCGCCGAACACCACTTTCCGGTTGATTGAAACACTAACTTGACCATCGGAGCACTCGCGGCCGCCTCCGCTCCCACTGGAAAAGGCCACGAGTGACTGACAGTGTGCTACCGTGTGTAAGGATGAGCTTATGTGGAGTTTCGTTTTGTTGGCCATGTGTCGGAAGAATTTTTCGAGGTCAACAATAATTGATAGATTTTTTTCCCCAATTTTTTATTGGATTGATATTCGTACGAATAACTAATCATCGTCGCATGACATTTTCTTGATTGCTTATTTCTGCATCAAAAATCAGAAGTAATTAACTTGTTATTTTCTATTTAGTAGTATTCAATGTATATCCATTAATCACGAATCACTATTGAAACCTTCTTTACAATTTAATTCATCCAAGTAATATATTAGTCTTACTGCACTTTGTAATTATGACAATACTAGTTTCTGCCCATGCGATGTACGGGCTGCACTATTTTGAAAATAACGTTAGCGTGTTAAATATATTAAATTATCGTGAATTACATCTTAAATATTAGATATGGGCAATTTAAATTATCCTAGTAAATTTGCAATTGATGTAAAATAAATTTTATTTGGAGGTGAAAGTTATCTTGTTGAGTCAAGTTTAATTTTCAAGAAAAGTTGGGTGTTGTTTGATTTAACATTATGTGTCTGAATGTAACTATCGACTTGACCACTATTTTATGTATTTTGGTAATGTAGACAAGCTATAAAAAAAAAAGTAGCTCACGAAATCTTGCGGTAAAAAGAAGAAAATAACTTAATTTGATGATTTGGAAGGGAAAACAGCGAATATTAGCCTCAAAAACGACTCACCCCCCGCCAAACTAGTGGTCACGACGTGCGCAAAAAGAGATTTTCGAACTGGGGAATATTAGCCTCAAAAACGACTCACAACCAGCCAAACTAGTGGTCACGACGTGCGCGCCGAAAAGAGATTTTCGAACTGGGGTCATGAGCGCAATCCGATAACCGTAGCCAAAGTTATGGTCAAAATACTAAAATACATTTAAATATTTTGTCAATTTAAGTTATTTTCTTCTTTTTACCACAAGATTTCGTTCATTCCATACTTATGTCTTTTATTTTGGTATGATTGTTGAGTTTTTTCTATTTTTGATAAAATTTCAATAATAATGTTTTTATTTCAGCTGCATTTTTTATATCTTTTACAACATTTTTAGTTGTCTATATTACCAAAATATATAAGAATGTGGTTAAGTGCGTAGTGACATTCAGACATACAATATTAAATTAAACAACACCCAACCTGTCTTGAAAATTAAACTTGACTCAATAAGATAAAAGTAACTTCAGTAGCATTTGACAAATTTACTTGTATTAAATTACTCAAAGTGAAAGAAAAAAGGTCCAACTTAAATTTGCCCCTTCTACACTTACAATGTATAATAATCATCTATTATATCTAGGAGAAATGGAAAAAAAAATCTCGAACAAGATGAAAAGAAATGAAGCAACATCCAATAAGAATCTTATGTGAAAATTTTAACTATCTAATAGAATTGAAGTCTCATTGAGAAAGCAATGTTCATCAATAAGCTTGCCACTTGTTGCAGAATTCACTGGTTCAGAAGCCATATTTATGATCCCGTTGTAAGCAATCGTAGCAAGTTAACATTATCAATATATAATGCGAAGTATAAGTGTAAC